CCTTCCTCTTCGGGTGCGGCACAGACAACGAAAGGCTGTTCCTCAACGCCGCAGGGCTCGTGGGCCTCGGCCGCGGCAAGCGCTCTCTGGTGTCTCAAACGTCGCAAGTTTACCAGTCGGTCTTCTCCTACTGCCTTCCTTCGACTCCCAGCTCCACCGGGTTCCTGAAACTGGGCGAACCTGGTGACGCCTCCAACACCGTTTACACTCGAATGCAGACCAGCTCCAATCATCCAAGCTTTTACTTCCTTGACCTGATCGGAATCAGTGTCGGTGGGCAGCAACTGGACATTTCGCCATCGGTTTTCTCGTCCCGTGGCACGATCATCGACTCCGGCACTACCATCACTCGCCTCCCGGCGTCGGCCTACGGAGCACTGAGGTCTGCGTTCCGGTGCTACATGTCCCAGTACCCCGCTGCGCCTCCTACGCGAGTACTCGATACCTGTTATGACTTCAGCGGCTACGAGACCATAACAGTCCCGAAAGTAGCGCTGCTCTTCGATGGAGTCACAATGGATCTCGACATATCTGGGATCCTCATGCATGGCTGCTTGGCTTTTACTGGATATAAGGGCGGTAGGTTCGGTATCATCGGCAACGTGCAGCAGCAAACGTTTGAAGTGGTCTATGATCTAGGAAACGAGAGGATTGGATTTGTGCCGCAGGCTTGCAGCTGATTGATTCACCACGCAACCACCTGCTCTTTGTTTTCTGCATCAATAAGAACAATGGGTGACAAAATGAAGACACCCGGAGTCAGTATGTTCACATAGTATAGATTCTGTTCCTCCGAATCTATTATCAGTATGTCTGTCTCTTTTGTCCGTAAAGTTGAATTTGGCAGTCATTCTTCAGCAGCTTCTTATTTATATCATCACAATTCACACATGACTTCCATTGCGTAGCTAATGATCAAAGCAAAACATCTAGAACTCCGATAACCAAATGCTCCATGATCGATCGAACTCGAATTAATGAAAGCAAAATCTTACTCTGGAACATGGCATTTACTATCAAGACAAACTTAGACATGATTCTGTTTTCATGCAGCTTCTTGCCACAAGACAGGACTATAAAAATGAAATGTCAACCATGCTAAATCGACATTCAAACCATAGACTTGTTAACATAGAACATGAATTATCCATGCATGCATAGACAACAGTTATAAAGATCTCTTTGGCAAAAGGTGATGAAGGCCGTCTACATAGTTAGTGCATATATGAAAAGCACACCAAAAAATTGCAAGAGAAGCAGCAGAATACAGAAAGCCAACTTGATCCAGATTAGTCCATTTCCTCCATCTTACTCTCTTCGGCATCAGCAGCATCCTCAAGCGTAGGCATGTCAGTGTCTTCAACCTTTTCATCCTCATCGATGCTGAGACCTAATTTCAGCATTCGGTGGATCCTGTTGCCAATAGTATTGGGGTCATTCAAGCAGAAACCAGAGGTGAGGAGAGCAGTCTCAAACAGCAGAAGTGTCAGGTCCTTAACTGATTTGTCATTCTTGTCAGCATCTGCTCGCTTCCTCAACTCCTCCATGATAGGATTCTCTGGGTTGATCTCCATAGTTTTCTTGCTGGACATATGGCCAGCCATGCTGGAGTCTCTGAGCATTAGTGATTCAGTCATCTCTGTAACTGACAAAAAAGGGTTGATGCTACCATCCATAATCTTTAATAATGATGGCTAGCACAACACTTTCTGCTTCTGAACAGAGGTTGAAGCAACAGCCAATGCACATTGGTCAAACCCTTCTTTTTGGGGTGCAAATGTTAGAACACCACCTACTACACAGGTTGATGCATGATGACCATGCTTCAAATGTGGTGTTGCAAGAATCATCTCCTTTGTTGAATGGTTCTAATTTTCTACTCCTCCCACTTATCTTGGCATGAGCAAGCAACAAAGCTAGTAGCTGAGGCACTGGCACCACTGAACCAGAGGAAGCACATTATCTTCACTGTTCCATGTCGAAATGCAAATTGCATCCTTCGACAACCCTCGAGAATGCCATCTCCAACCATCCACATCAAGAACCACCCGACTTGTTATTTGCAAGTGCCCTGGCTACATCTTCCAACACTTGAAGTGGAAGTCTGACCACTCATCGGAGAAGAAAGACAATGTCTAGTACACAAGCTGGGTGATTTGTATAGTCTGTGATATTAGCACTCCTTAAACTGCAGGTATCCTGATCTCCACATGAGATGCTTAATCTAGCTTATGCATTGGAGATGGTTTTTCAAGTGCTTGGCTTATCCCGAGGAGAAATTAAACACATGCAGGAAGAATTACGAGTCCTTCAAACATTTCATGGTCTATCGACCGACAGTGACTGAGCCACCGCAGATTTCTCACCACTGTTCCAATTTGAGAAGCATTGCACGAACCCCATGGCTCGTTTTCTGCAACATTCCAAAAGCTTAGCAAGGACATGACAAACGGAACGGGGCTTGCCATGTGAAATGTTGGAGAGGTGCGGTGGATTATGCAACCTCTGCAACATCATGTCTCCGTAGACTTATGTCAGCCAGAAACGCATGAACGTAAGAGAGCCTGTCGCAGGGAGCCACACTGCTTAGAGATGGATTAGATTATGTCTTTCCACAGGGAGCCACACTGCTTAGAGATGGATTATATTATGTCTTTCCACATGATTATATCAGAAGAAATAGCAGGAAAGAAGGAAGAAGAAAGTGATAGGCCACCTTGAGATCATGATTGTTCTCAAATGCTTTGTGGTTCTTCTTTCGACATTCTTTTCTTGGTGGTTGCTTTGGATCCTTCATATCAAGTAACATTAGCCAATGGTTCTTTTGGGCGAGGAACGATTGAGTTCAGTCCATTAATCCAATACTAAACAAATAGCCACAAAGTTGTTAGTCTATGGAATAACTCAAAGGTTGGTCGCCATTGCTTCACGGCCTAAGTTAGAAAGAAGATTCCAATTCAAAGCTGAGGCCTCTTCTTGGATGGTCTTCCCACGGGACTCGAGAGTGTCTGACAACAAGTCAGGAGTCAATTATACGGGCTTAATTCTTAGTGCCTTCCAGCATGTGATCACACCTCCTTTTCTGCTCGTGAGTGGATTGGATCTCATAAAGAATCACGAGGGTCTCTTCCTTGACCCAACCCGTTATTTGTTGCGCAATGACGCATGACGTAATCGCCACAGAGGACTCGAGTGGCCACAGGAGGAAGACAAGTGGGAGAAAGCGATGTACCACCCGTTGAAACTTGAACGCGCAGAGGCACAGCTATTTAGAGCTACTCCCTTCACTCGTTCCAAGCTCAGATCACCGAGTTCTGCAAGCGTAATGGCTTCTCTTGCTTGCTTTTCCTGCCGCCGTTGCCTCCACCACCTCCTCCTCTTCCTTGCTCTTTCTCGTTCGTCAGCGTATCGAAAACCTCCAAATATGCATGTGTTCAGCATCCATGATTTGGTAGTGTAATAATCTATGAGCAACGATAAGCAAAGAGACATAATACGAAGTTACTTACAATATTTTTCAATAGCTTTATAATATCCTTAATATCATAATAAAACCTATAATGTTGTAAAAAAAATACTATAAGCAAGTCAAATAAAATCAAAATATACTAAAAATTATTTAATATATCATATTAGAATTCAAATAGGTACTATAATAATAATTTATGAATAACAACATCATCTAAATATGGGTAAAAATTATTGCCACCATCACAATACCGTAATGCTATTGAAAAATATTATAAATGAGCCAAATAAAAACACTATAATGATTCGAAACTAATAAAAAAATAGACAAAACAAATTTGATGAGAAAAATACCATTAGCAATGACGGTGAGTATTTTGAGTATTATTTGAATTAGGGAGTCTCATTTTGTGAAAAAGTAAAACAGAGATCCCTTTTCAGAAAAAAAAAGAAGAATTTTTTTCAAAAAAATTACTTTTTTTTTTTTATACAGTCTGATGCTGGTTTGAACTAAATTATTGATTTCTATCATTCGATTTGATACGCTTAATCCGATACGTAACACATATCTATTCGCTTGTATTCTTATCAAAAACATTACATTACCGAATTGTTGTGACCAGTCTTTTCCTTCCCTTTGTCTTCATAGCTTCTGTACCTGAGCCTTATCTAACGCGAAAAAAGAAAGAAATATAAATACAGGCAGCTTTCGGCCATTTGCTATCAGTAATGCACAGATATAGTCAAGCGCAAAAGATGATAAACGAAACAAAAGAAGATATTGCTCAATAATATGGTCCATAATTAATCCGAGAACGCATGTCATTGTTTCTTAGCTGTTATGATATAGACGTACTTTGTCCGGTGCAATCATCCAGTTCTTGACTGTCTCGTAAATCGCCACCTCGCCGTCCCTGTCTTACCCTGCTTCCTCCTCCTCCTCCTCCTCCTCATCTTCTTCTTTTCCTTACCCTCCGACATGGCCAACAAGAGAAGTGCAGCAATATCACATCGCCTGTGTCGGTTCCTTAAGCCCACAACTGTTTCAGCGCCTAGAACTTATCATATCAGTGAACCAGCTAAAGTTCTTCTCATAGTAGTTGGAGGACCGAAGTAGCTCTGAGGTATGACATGTTCTTTGCAATCTGGTTCCGCATGAGCCACAGTGGAAAATGATCCTGTGGACGTCGAATCATGCCATATGATTGCTGTCAATTAACTCCAGTCGGATGCCATGAGTCCACGAATTAATTACTGGCAGATACATCGGACCTGGTAACCGAAGAAATCACCACGTGAAGACCTTGGATCGTTGCAAGTCATCGCTTCGGACTGGTAGCTGACTGGAGATCTTATCATTTCCATGGATCTTCCACACGTCGACGGGGATACGAGATAAAATTTATGTGACTCCGCGAAGATCGGACAATCTGACCTTGACTAAGCCAGTGGGTCCTACGTCAACGACTAGTCCACAGCCTTCTAAATCAATTTCGCATGTGGTAATCAGAGGCCAAACCAAAAGCATCGCTTTGAAGATTCAAGGAGAGAAGGTAGCATTGAAGGTTCTCTATAAATTGGATGCATAGCCAGAGCTCCTACGCACAAGACTTGTATCTCCCCAGCTAACTAATGGCTTCAGCTGCCCTCCTAACCAGCTCTTGTGTTCTGTTTCTGCTCCTAAGCTACCGTTCTCACCTTGCCAATGGAGAAGTACAGAGCTACCATAAGGTTCAAAGACGTTCTTTGAATCCCGGAGCAGTCTGCTCCCCGCTCAAAGGTTAATCATACATCGGCTGCCTCTTACTTTTGGTGTTTTATTTGCGCTGCTGTTATAAAGTATCATCTGTAGTTTTAACTAAGACTTCCTTCTCTATCTCTTTAAGCTGTAAATTGGAAGCACGATGTTACCGAGCAAGCAGATGGAAGTTGTACTTATAAATTGCTGCACTTGTTTGACGTAAAATTACTTAAAAGACAAAAAATTAATACTGACTATTGGTGGTGATATATACTTCCATGCATGCATGCATGGTTCTCAGGATCCAACGTTACCTCTATACGGTTGGTCAGTCGATATGGACCCTGCTCCCCCTTCGAGACAAAGGAACTGCCATCACCTGAACAAATCCTTCTTAAAGACCAACTTCGAGTAAATTATCTCCTAAAGGGTGTCGTGAAGTCACAGCTCAATGATTCCTTGGCAAGCATCCCCGCGGAGTTCGGAGGAGGGGAGTACGTGATCACCGTCGGCTATGGCACCCCCAGCCGAGAGCAGACTGTGACGATGGACACCGGGAGCGACCTGAGTTGGATCCAATGCAAACCATGCAACAAATGCTACTCGCAGCAGGAGCCGATCTTTGACCCATCCCAATCATCCTCCTACGCCGCGATCCCTTGCAACTCGTCGGAATGCAGTCAGCCCCGAGGCAGCTGCTCCAGCTCTTGCGCTTATTTCATCCCCTACGGCGATGGGTCGAACAGTTCAGGAGTCTACAGCTACGACAGACTGACGCTGTCGCCAAACGACGTGATCGAGCACTTCCTCTTCGGGTGCGGCACCGACAACGAAGGGCTGTTCCACGACGCCGCAGGGCTCGTGGGTCTCGGCCGTGGCAAGCAGTCGCTTGTGTCTCAGACGTCGCAACTTTACCACTCGGTCTTCTCCTACTGCCTTCCTTCGACTTCCAGCAACATGGGGTTCCTAAAACTGGGCGAACCTAGTGACGCCTCCAACACCGTTTACACTCGAATGCAGACCAGCTCCAAGTATCCAAGCTTTTACTTCGTTGACCTGATCGGAATCAGCGTGGCCGGGGAGCAGCTCGCCATTTCGCCATCGGTTTTTAGGTCCGGTGGCACGATATTGGACTCCGGCACTACGATCACTCGCCTCCCGCCGTCGGCCTACGAGGCCCTGAGGTCGGCGTTCCGGGAGCACATGTCGGCGTACCCTCTTAAGCCTACTAACGGACTGCTTGATACCTGTTATGACTTCAGTGGCTACAAGACCATAACAGTCCCCAAAGTAGCGCTGCACTTCGATGGAGTCACACTGGATCTCAACGTATCTGGGATCCTCAGGCATGACTGCTTGGCATTTTCTGGTAAGCAAGTTGATCGCTTGGGGATCATTGGCAATGTGCAGCAGCGAACATTTGAAGTAGTCTACGATGTAGGAAATGAGAGAATTGGATTCGCGCCGCACGCTTGCAGCTGATCAGTATCACCTCATGCATATATATAAATATAAATAAATCAATAGCATGAGGAATAAGGATATATAGCATGCACCTGCAGCTGGCAGTCAACCTCTATTACCTTCACCAGAATTGTCTATCGTTCTATTTCAGCATCCACCTCCCTTTTCTTCTGTACGTGTGTCTCTTTTCTTCGTTAATTATGTGTTTGGAATTATGTTTTGGAAGTATAAGTTAGAGCTCAGATTAATTAATCTAACAGTATTTTTCTTCGTATATAATAAAAAATCACGAGGGTCCTTCCACGACGAATCCAACCCACAATTTATTGTGTAATGAACGATTGCCTATTTAGTCATCACATCGAAAGGAGGAAGACGATGGAGAAAAGCTAGGGGATGTGACTGACGTGCTATAATTCTATAATTAGATGTTCGAGGCACATTTAATTTAATTTACTGTAGATTATTCTTAATCATAGGAAAAGTATATTTGATAAAAAAAAAATAACAGAAAATGTATGGGAAGCTTAAATCTAATAGCAAATTCATGTCTAATTCATAATTCAAACTTGTACTTGTGATAATTTTAATAAAAGGGATAACTGTTGTGATATTGTTTTCCTTATAAATCACATCATCTGCAACTTTGATAGATCTTAATATGAGTAGAAAATATATGTTACTAATAATAAACTCATCTAGTCTGCATAAAGATCTACAAGTCTGATAACTTTCCATCCTATTTTACTCTCCAAATAAAGCTAAATTGGTCCATGATTAATTGGAAAACGCCATGGTTGCCGAGTTCTTTAATGTCACTTGGAGTAGCTTGTCCTTCGCAATCATTTGGGAGTGTGTCTCTTTCACGGCCACCTACCCTGCCTGTACCTCCTCTTCGTCTTCTTCTTTTGATTAGCCTCTGCTGCTGTCAACCATTGATTCAACACCAGACCAGCTGAAGTTATTCTCATAGTGCAATCCGTTCATCACATACAGTATCGGAGCTATCGATCTATCATTGCAGGTTTCAGAAGTACGAGTCCATGTTCTTGCGCACTTTGGTTCGTGCGGACATGGAAGTATACCGTGTAATTCCCTCTCGAATAGCTCCCGATCCACTCGCCTGGGTGACTCGTAGAACAGCCATAAGGAAGCATTTAGTTGTTGTTGTTATTAGTTGACGATTTATGAGCCGGTCAGGATTGGTCGGTGAAGAAATCACACCAAGATGTTGAACTGTTGAAAGTCTTCTCTCCGGTCTTGCACTCGAGTTGTGGCTCTAATTATTCGACTTTGAACTGTTCGAAGTCTTCCTTTAGATCTCATCGTTGTGACGTAAACCAAATTATTTCGTGGATTTTGCAGTGGGAATGCGAAACTAAGCCTAAATTGCTCCGTGATTGTGTGGAAGAACTTGACGATGCCAGTCAATATGAAGTCAACGACTAGTCGACATACTTGACTCAAATCAGAGGCCAATCTGGTGGAACAAAGAAAGTGGTTTTGAAGTCTCTATAAATTGGATGCATTGCCATTGCAATCCTTCGCCCAGGGCTTGTCTCTTCCCAGCAAATGGCTTCGGCTGCTCTCTTAATCTGCTCTTCTGTTCTGTTCCTGAGTCACTGTTCTTCCCTTGCTAACGGAGAAGACGCTCAGAGCTACCACGTGGTTCGAAATCATAATTCTAGTCCCGAAGTTGTCTGCTCCTCGTCCAAGGGTCAGTCATACCTCAGTTGCTCTCTTGCATCAATCTTTTCTTTGGGCTGCAGATCTCATACTCCGCTACCCATGAATTGCTGAAACCATTTGATACAGTTTCCTTAAAAGATAGTTTCGCCTTTCTCAGGATCTAACTTCACCGCCTTCCCGTTGGTGCATCGGCATGGACCCTGCTCCCCCTTCGACGACAAGAAACTGCTATCGCTAGAAGAGATTCTTCTGAAAGACCAACTTAGAGTCAACTATCTCCGGCGAAGTGCCTTGAAGTCTTCCGCCAAGCCACAGGTCGATGATTCCAAGGCAAGCATCCCCGCGGAGTACGGAGGAGGGGAGTACGTGATCACAGTCGGCTATGGCACCCCCAGCCGAGAGCAGACTGTGACGATGGACACCGGGAGCGACCTGAGTTGGATCCAATGCAAACCATGCTCCGCGTGCTACTCGCAGCAGGAGCCGATCTTTGACCCATCCCAATCATCCTCCTACACCGCGATCCCTTGCAACTCGCAGGACTGCAGTCAGCTCCGAAGCAGCTGCTCCAGCTCTTGCGCTTATGGCATCACCTACGGCGATGGGTCGACCACTTCAGGAGTCTACAGCTACGACAGACTGACGCTGTCGCCAAACGACGTGATCGAGGACTTCCTCTTCGGGTGCGGCACCGACAACGAAGGGCTGTTCCAAGACACCGCAGGGCTCGTGGGTCTCGGCCGCGGCAAGCGCTCTCTGGTGTCCCAAACGTCGCAAGTTTACCACTCGGTCTTCTCCTACTGCCTTCCTTCGACTCCCAGCTCCACCGGGTTCCTGAAACTGGGCGAACCTGGTGATGCCTCCAACACCGTTTACACTCGAATGCAGACCAGCTCCAATCATCCAAGCTTTTACTTCGTTGACCTGATCGGAATCAGCGTCGGTGGGCAGCAACTGGCCATTTCGCCATCGGTTTTCTCGTCCCGTGGCACGATCATCGACTCCGGCACTACCATCACTCGCCTCCCGGCGTCGGCCTACGGAGCCCTGAGGTCTGCGTTCCGGAGCTACATGTCCCAGTACCCTGCTGCGCCTCCTACGCGAGTACTCGATACCTGTTATGACTTCAGCGGCTACGAGACCATATCAGTCCCCAAAGTAGCGCTGCACTTCGATGGAGTCACACTGGATCTCGACACATCTGGGATCCTCAGGCATGGCTGCTTGGCTTTTGCTGGATATCAGGGCGGTAGCTTCGGAATCATTGGCAACGTGCAGCAGCAAACGTTTGAAGTGGTCTATGATCTAGGAAACGAGAGGATTGGATTTGTGCCGCAGGCTTGCAGCTGATTGATTCACCACGCAACCACCTGCTCTTTGTTTTCTGCTTCAATAAGAACAATGGGTGACAAAACGAAGACACCCGTAGTCAGTATGTTCACATAGTATAGATTCTGTTCCTCCGAATCTATTATCAGTATGTCTGTCTCTTTTGTCCGTAAAGTTGAATTTGGCAGTCATTCTTCAGCAGCTTCTCATTTATATCATCACAATTCACATATGACTTCCATAGCGTAGCTAATGATTAAAGCAAAACATCTAGAACTTCGATAACCAAATGCTCCATGATCGATCGAACTCGAATGAATGAAAGCAAAATCTTACTCTGGAACATGGCATTTACTATCAAGACAAACTTAGACATGATTCTGTTTTCATGCAGCTTCGTGCCACAAGACACGGCTATAAAAAGGAAATATCAACCATGCTAAATCGACATTCAAACCATATGACTTGTTAACATACAACATGAGTTATCCATGCATGCATAAACAAAACTTGTAAAGATCTCTTTGGCAAAAGGCGATGAAGGCCATCTACATAGTTAGTGCATATCTGAAAAGCACACCAAAAAATTGCAAGAGAAGCAGCAGAATACAGAAAGCAAAGCTTAATCCAGATTAGTCCACTTCCTCCATCTTACTCTCTTCGGCATCAGCAGCATCCTCAAGCGTAGGCATGTCAGTGTCTTCAACCTTTTCATCCTCATCGATGCTGAGACCTAATTTCAGCATGCGGTGGATCCTGTTGCCAAAAGTATTGGGGTCATCCAGGCTGAAACCAGAGGTGAGGAGAGCAGTCTCAAACAGCAGAAGTGTCAGGTCCTTAACTGATTTGTCATTCTTGTCAGCATCTGCTCGCTTCCTCAACTCCTCCATGATAGGATTCTCTGGGTTGATCTCCATAGTTTTCTTGCTGGACATATAGCCAGCCATGCTGGAGTCCCTGAGAGCTTGTGCCTTCATAATCCTCTCCATGTTCGCAGTCCATCCGTACTCGCCAGTGACCAAACAGCAGGGTGAGTCAACAACGCGATCAGACACTACTACCTTCTCCACCTTGTCACCCAACACTTCCTTGATTACTTTGCAGAGCCCTTCAAACTTTTCCTTCAGGGCTTCCTTCCTCGTTTTCTCATCGTCACTCTCATCAAGCTTCAGCCCCTCCTTTGTTGCAGAAACCAGCTTCTTCCCCTCAAACTCCTTCAGTTGACCCACGGCATATTCATCAATTGCATCAACCATGAAAAGAACCTCGTACCCCTTCTTCTTCAGCTTTTCAAGGAACGGAGAGTTCTCCACAGCCTTCTTGCTCTCACCAGTTATGTAGTAAATGTCATTCTGACCCTCCTTCATTCTCGTAACATAGTCCTTGAGGCTAGTCAGCTCATCCCCACTCTTGGTAGAGTGGAACCTCAGCAACTCTGCAATCTTTGACCTGGTCTGAGAGTCTTCATGGATTCCAAGCTTGAGATTCTTTGAGAACGCCTCATAGAACTTGTTGTAATCCTCCTTGTTCTCAGCAATCTCGAAGAAGAGTTCGATACATTTCTTGACCAGGTTCTTGCGGATGACCTTGAGAATCTTGTTCTGCTGGAGCATCTCTCTTGAGATATTGAGGGGAAGGTCCTCAGAGTCCACTATCCCTTTGACAAAGCCCAAGTACTCCGGCATTAGTTCTTCGCAGTTGTCCATAATGAAGACACGACGAACATATAGCTTGATATTGTTCAGCTTTTTCCTTGTGTCAAAGAGGTCGAAAGGAGCCCTCTTTGGCACAAAAAGAATAGCCTTAAACTCAAGTTGGCCTTCCACAGAGAAGTGTTTCACAGCCAAATGCTCCTCCCAGTCATTAGTGAGACTCTTATAGAAAGCAGCATACTCCTCCTTTGTAATCTCTTCAGGCTTCCTCATCCAGATGGGCTTCTGTTTGTTGACCAAAGACCATTCATGAGAAACCTCCTTGATCTTCTTCTTTTTCTTCTCTTTCTCTTCCTTCTCCTCATCAACATCTTCCACCTTGCCTTCTTCAGTGTCTTTCTTGTCCTCCTCATCCTCATCATCTGAAATTTCTTTCTCTGTAGTCTTCTCAGTCCACAGGGAGATGGGATAGCTGATGAATTCAGAGTGCTTCTTGATCAAGTCTTTAAGGCGACGTTCCTCAAGATATTCCAACTGCAATCAAGCTTCTCATTCATTAGTAAAATCGAAGCAAAGCAAAGGCAGTCCTTAAAAGGATGCTAATATTTGATTCTAGCATAGCAATACGACAGCTGAGTATCTTATTACATGATTTCATGACGGTGAAACAAAGGAAACACGGACAAATACATTAGGACGTGGATCCAACAGATAATAGATTAGTAGATATGAACAAATAGATATAAGAATGCAATAACCTAGAACTATACCACCAGAAGCACGAGAACAAGCTGAACAACAGCATACTTCATATATATTTTTCGTCTTTGAGCAGTTGCTTGACTAATGACTAAAGGCAAATCTGAAACGAAACACACAAGTTAAAGCCACACAAATTCATCTTTATAATCAAAATTCATAAGTAAAACAGTGAACCTCAGATAGCATCTCTCAGAGTCCATAAGTTGGCTCTTCAACCTTATGAATGAAGAACATATACACGATGTCAAATTATAACTAACATCTACTGATTATGGATTCAATAATTTCATTTTCCTGACTTACTCCTCTGGTAATTAGCTCTACTCAATGGTTGTTTCCACGTGCATGTAACCACAATACAAGCTCGAAAAAGCAAAGTGAACATCACAAAGATGTTTCTCGTGGATTTACCCCACCCAGTAAATTGAGCAAGAATAGCTGCAGCAGACAAGGAAAATAACACCATACTGACTGGAAAGAAAATGTTCTTATCATGTGAAACAACTATGACAAACCAGAAAAATCCTAGTTGTCCTAAGGATTATGATCCAGGGGGATTGTGTTTACCTGATCCTCCTTAAGGAAAAGGGTGATCTTTGTCCCCCTCCCGAGATTCTCCCCTGATGTATCCCTGGTGACCGTAAATGAACCCCCAGCCTGCGACTCCCAGACGTACTGCTCATCATCATTGTGTTTGCTGGTCACGACCACCCTGTCGGCTACCAGATACGCGGAGTAGAACCCCACTCCAAACTGCCCAATCATACTGACGTCGGCGCCAGCGGCAAGCGCCTCCATGAACTCCTTGGTCCCAGACCGAGCGATCGTGCCGAGATTGTTGACAAGATCGGATTTTGTCATGCCGACGCCACTATCGATTATGGACAAGGTGTTAGTGGCCTTGTCAGGGATGATATGGATGAAAAGCTCCGGCTGGGCGTCAAGCTTGCTCTTGTCCGTCAGGCTCTCGAACCGGATCTTGTCCAACGCCTATTGAGGGCACCATATCAGGACCAAAAACGAAGCAAACACCCAAAAAAAGAGATCTTTTTAAAACTTCAGATCGATGCATCAAGGCAACACGACGCTTACATCGGAAGAGTTACTGATGAGCTCTCGAAGGAAGATCTCCTTGTTGGAGTAAAAAGTGTTGATGATCAGGCTGAGAAGCTGGTTGATCTCCGCCTGGAAAGCGAAGGTCTCCGTCTCGGCCGCCATGGCTGGCCCTGTAAAGAGAACTCGAACTCGATCGAGAGAATGAGAGTGAAACTGAGGGAGAGATTTAGGCGGAGGCTTCTTCGGCGCTAGGGATTCCAACGGGCGCTGTGTGAAGAAATGGCATATATATATATAGAGGGAAAATAAAATTCCGTTTCTAGATCCTTCTATAGATCTAAAAGACCGGACCGCTGTGTGAAGAAATGTCATATATATATATGGAGGGAAAATAAAAGTCCGTTTCTAGATCCTTCTATAGATCGAAAAGACCCGACCGCTGTGCGAAGAAATGGCCTATATATAGAGGGAAAATAAAATTCCGTTTCTAGATCCTTCTATAGATCGAAAAGACCGGACCCGTATGAGACGTGGTAGATTCGGGAATCAAACCGGGCCGGCCCGTGCAAGGCCGGATAATTTTGGGCTTAATGCTGACATCATATGTATCCTGTGGCAAAGCAATCAGCGTAACGATGCCACAAAGAAATGGTTCATTTTAGCCGTATTCTTCGTTCTGATTCTAACATGGGCTGGTGAACTTCTGGATTATTCCTCGTCCGTCTGAGTCATCACTGACGCAACTATGCAATAAATAAATTAAAATATCAGCGCAGTATTGACGTATCCTTCGTTCTGATGCTAACATGCGCGGTTGACTTTCCGGTGAGTCCGTCTCCCTCCGTCTTCGCTCCGGTGTTCTTACCGCCACCTCCTCTTAATCCAAACCCAGTCAGAAAACTCTCGGAGGGCACAAGAACTCGAAGTTTCTCGTTCAAAAGGAAATCCTACCCTCACCGCAGGTGATTGTTTCCTTCACGGGACAAATAAAAAAAAAAAAAAAAAAATATATATATATATATATATATATATATACACACACACAGACGAAGAAGCACAAACCCCTCCGCTGGGTTTCGTCACCATCAATCGCCAGGAGGTAAGTTCACCGCCTTTTGTTTCTTCGCAAAAGATAATTGTGTTCTTCAGGGTTTCTGATGTCGTCTAATCGCGTCCCAAAATGACGGTTTATAGTTGCTTATGGATCTTTATTGATCGAATTTGTACATGCTGGTTGTATTTGTGGCAGTATAGCCGATTCTCTTTTATTCTTGTATCTCGCGACGATCTGAATTTGTTCGATTGGGGACTTTTGCGGTAGAAGATCGATCTTCGACACCTCTATGGTTTCAATTTTGTTCAAAATTAGATGACCGTGCTATTGATCGATTGTATGTTTTTTTTTTTTTGGATCGTACGAATTCTTGGTTGGATTGATCTTAGCATCGTTAGGATTCGGAGAAGTCCCTTCTTGATCGCGAACTTGTTGTGAGAATTAGGGAAAATAAAGTTAGTTGTAGTTTAATTATACGATAAAAGGTAGCCCCTTAAGACCTTTCTCAAGTCGAAATTTTCGTGTATTTTGTTGAAACGAAAGTTGAAAATTGAACCTCGTTTTTTTGTTTTTCTTAGTTCCTTATCGGCAGGAACTGTAGTTACATTAGTGCAAAATAAAGGGATTTTAAGAGGCCAAACCGGTGGACGTGTGGTAGGTTTTGATTGAAGACAATGATAAGGTTTATCCTTACAATGGGAACTGATGTTATGGATTGATATTATGCTAGTTTGATATTTTGTTGGGGAACTTAATTAAATTATAGATAAGAATTGAAAGTTCTTCCAGTGACCGCAGAACCCTGCATTGAATTAATGCATGTCTAAGATGTTGGACGCCTAGCTTTTAAATTCTCTCACTTTTCTTGTTAATTTGTGCAAATCTTGTTCGAGGTTATTTAGAAGTGCATATGAATATTGAAAATTAGAAAAGATTATATTTATGCAGCAATTTTTTAAATTTCATTGTGTGGAGTCATTGTTACTTTGCTTTTTGAAGACATGTTGTTCTGTTCTCTGTTGTTCTCACTAATTACTACCCTAGACGATCTTTCAGCTTGCTGATTGGCATATAACATGATTCCCCATTGCATGAGCTCCTTTAGGTATTTCCAGCTCATGGCTACTATGTTTCATATGAATTGCTAGCTTCTGTCAGCACCTATAGTTCATGGTTAGACATCCTGGATTTTGGGTGACATTTTCTAAAATTTCTTTGTCAACAACAAACATGTACTATCTACTATATTATTTGCTTCAATGTACTCCATGTTTCCTTTCATTACATCCATAAGCTTACCAGGTCACATCTGATTTTCTGAACATTTATGGTTAGATTGGACAGAGCTATGTATCATAAATGATCCATCAAGAAGATATGTTCAACCAATGTAAATGTAATCACTGAGATACTTTTCTTACTTTTCCAAAAATAAAAATTTTCATGTTAGGATTTTACCTTATATGATTAATCTATTTTCTTGATTGAGAAATTTAATTAAGGAAAATAGTTAATGTTTGATTCTTATTTTTTTTATTGTGCTGATAAATTATGAATGAAATTAATTAATTGAATAATTAATCCGAAAATTATTAATTAATTATTTCCCTTTGGAGAGCCCTCCATTCCCTTTTATTTTAAGATGACATACCCTCCCCTGTTCCATATTTGTTGCCAGTCTACGAGAAATAACGAGGAGGAGGATTGTCACCTGGTTGAAAAGTAGATTCTCTTTCTTTTATATTTTCTGCAAGGAATCAAAAGTGTTATATATCATAAGTGATTTTGGGTGACATTTTTCTAGGGTTGCTTTGTCAATAACAAACATGTAATATCTACTATATGATTTGCTTCAATGTGCTCCATGTTTTGTTGCACTACATCCATAAGCTTACTGGGTCACATTTAATTTTTAGAATATTTATGGTCAAATTGCATAGAGCTATATATCATAAATGATTCATCAAGAGGATTTGTTTAATCAATGACAATGTGATGACTGAGATATTCTTCTTTCTTTTCCGAAAATAAAAATTTCTATGTTAGAATTCTACCGTATATGATTAATCTATTTCCTTGATTGAACAATCTAATTAAGAAGAAAAAAAATTAATGATTGATTCTTATATCCTCTATTGTGCTGACTGATTTTGAATGAGATTAATTAATTAATCCAAAAAATTATTAATTAATTATTTTCTTTGGGAGAGCCATCTATTCCCTCATATTTAAAGATGATGTACCCCCTCCTATTCCTCGTTTGTTGTCTTTTAGCGGGAAGGAGGTGGAGAATCATCGTCTTGTTGAAAAGTAGGTCCTCTATCTTTCTTTAATTGAGAATGATGATTTATATTTTCTGCAAATTTTAGGAATTAAAAGTGTTATATGTTCCTTCAATTAGTTTATATTTTGGAATTTTTAAATGATGATTTTTGGGTATTAAATTAATCCTCGATTTTCAAGATCATGATTTATGAGCTTCAATGCTATTTTAATCAGTTTAAGCGTTAAATCATGATTAGTAGAGTTTAATTAATGAACTTCATGATATCCATGTCGTTTTATCTTAAATTGAATGCTTTTTAAGGTTGATGATATAATCATTTTGCATCATGTTAATTCCTTTAATTTAGCATGTTAATTTAACTATTTAATAGTTTTATAGTGTTTATCCACGTCTTGTATTAAATCAGATTGATTAGTTTAATTATTTAACAACATTGTTAAATAAAAGGGACTGAAATCGGATTGGAATCAGGGAAAATGAGTTCGGATTGAGTCTGACTAGAGCCACCGTTGGTTGGATCCGATCAGACCAAACTGCATGCACCTGAGCCCAGCCTGGATGTTGGTCAAACCCAGACCTTTGGCTCAGTCTGAGGTGACCTAGAGCCTATGGCGTGGGTTTGCTCAAGCAGCGCATAGTGACCTAGCATGGTGGCTCAGGTCCAACCCCCAGTGCCATGCAATGATGTGATGTAGCCCGGAGAGGCCCAACGCAACCCATTCACATCAGCTTAGTGCGGGCTGGCGCAACCTAGAGCTTAAGGCCCATGTGTGGCTCACCACTAAGGCCTAATCCATCGCCCACTTCTATTGTGCAGCCATGTGCGGTGCATATGACCCTGGTCTAGGGCCTCTATGTGCCATTCCAGCCCGGCCTAGCATTGTGTGCCTTGGATCGAGCTCGACCCGACCTCTTTTAGCTCAATTATGGCCTACGCCTGCAGCCCATAGTAGCCCAATGCATGCGCCCCACATGCAGGTTGACCCGTGGACCCCTGTGGCTTGGTGCGAGCCCTGTAACTAATCAAACCGGATCTGTTCAGAGTGATTCTGAACATACCTTGTCTTGTCTGGTTCAAGCCGGTTTAGCCCAAACTGGGCCTTATTAAGCCCAATTAGGCTGGTTTAGGGTGGTTCCAGACTAGTTTTAAGCAAATTTGATGGCTGGCCAGTTGGGTTCTAGCTAAAAACCTACTAGGTTCAAATCAGTTGAACCATTTTCGATTAAGGTTTAGGTCAATGAAGGGTTGCAGTTTGAGTGACAGCTCATAATTTTACAACTTAGTGAACTTAAAAGCCTTATTTGAAGTTATATTATAAAAATTATAAATTATTAATGGATTTCAAGTTCAAATGACATTTGACACTTAGGTTGGTGATATAATGCATATTATTAATGATTATAGCTTTCACTTTTATAACCTTTGCATTCGTTGCCGTTTGTTTTTGCTCAACTGTGGTTTTGTTGGCCTCCAAGAGTATCTTGCACTTGTTTGTTGTATGAATATTCATAGAATTATTTCAAGTGAATATACAAGACTTTTTTTTTTATGGTTGCATTTTTTTCTCTTATAGGAAATACATAAAAAATTAGTGCAGCTTTAGCAGCATATTCGCAAGTTCGTATTCTGTGGAAATGGAGCAATCTTGCAACATTCTGGTAATTTGGAGAGGCAAGCAGTTCGATGTAAATGTCAACCCAGATTCTAATGTCAAGGAGTTTGGGCAGAAACTTCAGGAATTGACTAATGTCAGACCTGATACTATGAGACTTTTTGTTCCACAAAAGAATAACAAAGGTTCAAAAATGCTCAGCCCATTTTCTGATGTTCACTCGATGTTAGGCTTGCGAGAATCAGCAATCCTTGAGGTAAATTTACGTTCATACTGCAGCATGAATTATTATTATTATTTTTTAGTTTGGGGAAAGGTTGCAACAATTATGCTAATATTGGTTGGCTCAAGCCTGTGGATTACTTTGTACCTAAGTATCAACCTGTAACTTTTTATCTTTTTGAACTATGCTGTGTTTGTTAGTGCCAAGCAAATTTGTTAATATAACTTGACTGCAGCCTGCTTGCCTGTGGTTACTGTACATTAGATAACAGAGAGACCAAATCTATATTGTAAGGTAATTGTAGGATAAGTAATCGTGCAAGTATTATGTTCAAAACAGATACGTCAAGCAATTTGTAGTATCCTGTGGCACACTCTTGTTAAAGTCATATCTTCCTGGCAGGCTTTTCTTAGACTTGTAAAAATTTTCCTTTCAGACAGACTTCTTTGATTGTCAGATTCCTTCCAAGATTGTCACACTCTTTCAGACATTCTTGTTAAATGAGCTCCTCTCTCAGCAGCTGCTCCCATCACTTGTTAAGATTCTGTTACTGCCGATTGACTGCTCTTGGCACACCACCTGCAAGGGTTGGGAGTGCATTTCCTACCAGCCGGCCTCCCTTGCCAGATCTTTACAGATTTGAATCAGTGACTAATTGAAACCCACAAAAATTGCATTACCATCTTTGGACATGTGGCCATAATTGATCCTTAAAGTGAATGAAGACTGATAAATGCACTATAGAACAACCACACAGATATATATGGGTTAATATATTCTAAAATTTGTTAGTTGGCAATGCAGTAATACTTATAAAGAAACCTGGTATTCTTTCAGCATCTATTGTATTTATATGCAGAAGCCAAAATCAGTTGGATCCTGTATTCATGATAAAAATTTTGAACATTAGAAGCTTCTTCTCACCAGACAGGCTACTAATCTGGATCGGTAAAATCTGTATCATATCATCTTCCAATGGGCTGAGATTACTGACTTGGAGATTTTTTCTGGATAGTATACTATATATCATTTTGTTCAATTTTGTTTAACAGCCATAGCATGGTGAAGATGATTGCTTGCTTGTGTTTATCTTTGCAGGGAAAGACTATCAAGATGATGGGTGTTTTTAGTGATGAGGTCGATGAGGTTTCTCATAACAGTAATAAACCTGACCTAAGGATAGCTGGTTTTGCTGAAGAGGAACAGAGATTGAGACAGAGAATGATATATAGGCCTCAAGCTTCTCTGAAACTTCCACAAGGAACCTACATTTTCTGTGAATTTCGCACACTTCAGATTCCAGGAATTGAGGTATTTACTTGAGCTGTAAATTTAGTAAAGAAGTATGTTTTATTAATTTTTTAGGCATTTATTTGAAAGTTGTAATGTTTGTGGAATCCTCTTGGTGTTTCATGTTTAATGGTGATTGAGTGATGGCTACAACAGATTGAAGTGTGCCCTTTTGACCCTTTTTCTGAATGACATAAAAGGCAATACATGTAGTTATGATAGTTACCCTTGTTCACCTTTTTCACTGTTATTTATGTCAGTTGAACCCTCCACCATCTGAGGCTCTGAGAAGAATGCACATGCTTGCCTGTGATCCTGGAATTATTGCTATCATGAATAAGGTAACAATTGTCTAATGATAAATTTTATTATTTAGTTACATGGTTATCTCATAAGATGCTTTTGCCTATTCTCTCAGCATCGGTGGCGGGTTGGTATTATGAGTGAAATGGCACCTGAGGGGTATGTAGGAATAAGTCCAAAATGCATTCTTGGATTTAATAAGGTAACCAAGTTGCTGTTAGTTTATAGATAGATAATATTGAAGTGAAGAAAGGTTGACCTTGTTTTTGCTTTACTTTTCTTTTAACTTGTTTTTTGCAGAATCATGGGGAAGAGATATGCCTTCGATTGCGTACAGATGATCTTCAAGGATTTAGAAAATATGAAAGCATCAAAAGAACACTTTTACATGAACTTGTATGTTCTTTCCTGGCAACTTAAGCTGGTTCCACTTTCTTTGTAACAGCTTTTTCTGTGACTGTGTCATTTAATTAAACCTGTTAGAGTGGTTTCTTATGTTCCTTTTTTCTTTCTTTCAAAAATTTATTTCAGGCCCACATGGTGTACTCCGAACATGATTCTAATTTCTTTGCTTTAAACAAGCAGGTACCCTTGTGAACCCATTAAGAAGATATATGGGCCTTTGTCAATATCTTTTTCTAATTGAATTATTTGATATGATCACAGTTAAATGAAGAAGCCGCTAGCCTAGACTGGACAAAATCAACAAGTCACACATTGAACGGTCGCAAATACCTTGATCATTATGAAGAGGAGGATTATGTCGAACTGAGTAGCAAGAATAGTGGTCAAAAGCTTGGGGGTGCAACAAATTCATTAGTTTCTGCACGTGCATCATCGATTGCTGCTGCCTATAACCGAATGGCAAATGCTTCTATCTACGACCACATGCCTGTTAAATCCAAGGAACCTGATCCTGATGATAGCCAGCTGATGGATGATCAGGGAAAATTTTCTGAACCTGACCCAGATGATATGGTGACTTCAGAGAATGATGCCATGCTTGTGGATATGGTTATGGATGCCAGGAGACCCTTTTCGAAATCATCAATGCTTGATATGCTTGATGAGCTTGACCCTGATGATTCCTTGGACCATAAGAACATGTCTGAGCCTGACCCCGAAAATTCCTTGGATAATAAGAACATTTCTGAACCTGACCCTGATGATTCCTTGGATAATAAGGACATTTCTGAACCTGACCCTGATGATTCCTTTAATAAAAAGAACGAGTCTGAACCTGACCCCTATGATTGCTTGGATAGTAAGAACATGTCTGAACCTGATCCTGATGATTCCCATGCTAGAGGATTGATAGTGTCTAGAAGTGAACCTGATCCAGATGATACCTTAGGTGGTGAAGATATTAAATTAGCCAAGGAGACTGATTCAACAGGTACCAGGTCAAACAAGGTAGACACAAGCAATCCAAGAGATTCTGAACCTGATCCTGATGATTCTTTGAATAATGTACTCTTGGATGCACAAATGGAAGAAATGCATCTGGGAAAACACTGTAGAGAGCCTGATATGGATGGCTTTGTTAAAGATATGGTTTTGGGAGATTATGAGAGGTTGCAACAAAGTGCTGAAGGGCCACTGGCGACTGAAAATTCGATGGCAGTTGACCATGTCAATGATTTGGACAATCAAGAGCTACAAAGAATTGAAGAACCTGCTGCTCTTTTTTGTTCCCGTCTCCAGAGAGCCATTGATATCCTACGATCAGAAGCAACACCTTTGCAGGCCACCTCAGTTCTTCAAACACTTTTCAGGATTATCAGGTTTCTTATCCTCAACTTTCTTATAATTTTCCTGTTGATGCCTTAAATTATATGATATATGCTATGTTTTGTTCAACTGGAGTTATTGTGTCCATCTTGCATGTGCTCATAGGAACGTAATAGAACATCCAGATGAGGTCAAGTTCAGAAGACTGAGAAAGGTGCTTTTCTTCTTTTTTTCTGGTTGCACTTTCCTCCTCTTTGATCTGACATTACTTAAGATCTTTAATCGTGTATTCTTATCCTTTAGGCCAATCCCCAGTTCCAGAGGAATGTGGCAAATTATAAAGGTCAGTAGGAATGTGGCAAACAACATATATCATATAATTTAATAAGTTGTTTAGATGTTTAATCACTTCCATACAATCAGCATTTTTCTCAGTGGGGATCTAGAATGGTGTTTTGTTTCACATGATACTTTGGACTAATTTGATCTGCTTCAAAACAGCTGCGATGGAGGTTCTCACTTTGGTCGGCTTCTGTGAGGATGTCATATCTGATGAGATCGGCAGAGCCGAGACATTCTTGGTGTTGAAAAGAAATGATCCTGGCTTGCTGTGGCTTGCAAAATCTTCTCTCGAGCTGTCTATAACTTAGTGCCAACTATAACACAACTATATCAAATGATTTGTTTGTACTTATCATGTGTGCAAATGATTGGTAAAGGTGATGTCCAACTACCAACTGCTACTAGGAGTATACAATGATTCCAACCACATACAAGGAAGACGTGTAAACAAAGGATGATGTGCTGGATACTATGTTGTTCTATAGGGGACTATTGGCTGATTAATAAAATGTGAATAAAAAAGCTCAGTAATTATATTACATAATTGTTTATCAAAGTTTGTTTGAATGTATGTTTTGTCTTCTAATGCAAATATAATTGTTTTTAGGATTCTGTACTTGTTTCGATGCTCCTGCTAATTAATTGTACACAAATTTTCTGTATTTTTATGTATACCACCCATCGCTTCATTGTGTGCGGACTTTGATGGTTATCCGCGAGTTTTACATGGATAAAATGAAACTTTTACTCTGTGATATGATTTCGATGTAGTGTGAGATAATTTTGTGATGATTGTGGTGCTTATAGCTTATGTTTTCCTTTTTCTTTTGATAGCACTTCTATCTCGAGCTCCAATAAATAAAATCCATCAGCCTTACCCTTGATGTTAGACATGGACGCCTGTGATTGAATGATAAGCCTTTTAAAGCATCGATCATCTTTGGGCTAATTACATATTATTGCATAGTCATATTTGTTTAGCATCTTAGTTTTTAGATATAAAAAAAATTCTTATAATTATAAAAGTAAGATATATAGACTTATTTATTCTAACATCATCGGTTTAATTAATGAAAATATAAAAATAAAAAATAAAAATATAATTTTAACGTTCCAACTAACGATGGTAGTAAACAGCGATGCTATTGGGGGTTGCAAGTAGTTGCTATGGATGAACTGTATTTGTATCGATGTCGACACAGTTGCTGAGTAGTCCTTTCCTCGTACATCTGTATCGACGAGTAACGAAAAAGTCGCTCGACATTTTCATTTGCATCGACGTAATCATTGAGCGGTGTCGCTCTGCATTTATGTTGACATCGATACAAATGTTGAGTGGTCCCTTTGTTGCTCAACAATTACGTTGATATCGACGTAGTGAGCAACCCTTTCATTACTCTGTATCTGTGTTGATGTTGACACAATTATCGAGTAGTGAAAGGATCATTCATCATCCACATCGATGGCTCTTTTATTGCTTGACAACTGTATCAACACAAACGCAAATGCAGAGTGATGAAAAGATTACTCAACAATTGTATCGACGTTGACATAATTACCGAATGGTGCTATTCTACGTCAACGTTGACACAATTATCAAGCGGTTAAAGAGTCACTCATTGTATTGGCATCAATGCAATTGTTAAGCGACGAAAGGGCTCTTGGGCATTTGTATTAACACCAATACAAATGCATAGTGAAGTCGTTATTACATCGACGTAATTACTAAGTAGTTCTTTTATTGCTTGGCAATTACGTCGACACTGACGAGTAGCCCTCACCTCTCACCATCGCTCCTCATCTATAATAGTCACATGCGACTTCTAACAATATTGTCATCTGCCATCTCCAACGAGAACGATTGGAATTACCCTTTTTATCTATTATTTTTTATGTTTCCATCGATAAAAATGATAATATTAAGATAAATAAATCTAAATATTTTAATTTAATATAAAATTTTAAGTCTATAAATCGAAAATACTAAAGAGTAAAGGGTAACATGTGATTAGCGACATTTTGCTCTTTGCTTAACCGGGCTTAAATCTCGCGACAATTTATTTAGATTTAGGATTTTGGCAGTCAGTCACGTACGCCCTCTCGTTGTTCCCTTTTGGTAGGCATCGGCGGCGGCGGCTCCTTCTGTAGCCATGACGTCGCTGCGGTCCGCCGTGGCCACCTCTCTCCCGCCGATCCGCGCGGCGATCTCCCGGATGAAGCAGGATATGATGCGGCGGGAACTGGAGAACTGCCACCTCCTAGCCGGGATCTGGTGCCATGGCCTCACGGTGCGCCAGCTGCAGGCCCTCCGGGGAGCGCTCCCACCCGCGGCCAAGCTGGTCGTGGCCAAGAACACGCTGCTTGAGAAGGCCATTGCCGGTACCCGGTGGGAGCCCCTCCGGCCCTGCGCCAAGGGCATGAACGCCTGGCTCTTCGTCCACTCCGACGAGATCCCCCCGGCTCTCAAGCCCTGCCGCGACTTCCAGCGTGATTTCAAGCTCGCCCTCAATGACTTCACCGGCGCCGTCTTCGAGGGCCGCCTCTACGGGCCCGACAACTTCCAGGCCCTGGAGACCATGCCCACGCGGATGGAGTCGTACGCCTACCTCCTTGGCTGCCTGCAGACGCCCGCCGTGTCCCTTCTCAGCATCTTGCAGGCTCCCGAGGGGGATGCCGATCAGGCTGCAGAAGGAGCCGCTGCCACCTCCGAGAAATAGAAGCTCGACGGTTGTCGTATGTCTTCCCGTTGCTTCTTGTCTTTGTCTTATTGTTCTGTAGTTTGATACTGCTCGGTTCTGAATTCACATTATTTTGTTTAGTACAGTTTGTCGATGGGTAGATTACTTTTAGGGTCTAAATTCATTGCTTACTAAAAAAAATGCACTTCTTTGTATAGGAATAGTTTCCGATGATAAGGACCACTGACAATTAAGATTTCTACCATGGAGTAGACTTTCTACTATAGAAAGGTAATCAGTGAATTTGGTTTGGCACCCAATTGGTGCTTCTATCTGATCGCTAGATGCTCGCTAAAATGCTCAACTGATGTGTGTTTCAAGAGGTTAATACAACTTTTTGACCTACTGTCACGTTAATGAGTTATTGTGCCATATCTAGCATGCTATACACAAAATGTGGATCTAATAAGATAGAAAATTGGGATGTTGCTCTATCGGAGAGAAAATTGGCTTTAAATTTCTTGTTAATTAGTTCTCTTAATTTCTTTGGAAATCCAATCTGATGGTTCTTATGGACTAGCTGCCACTACTGATCCCTACTTAGGTCAAAGCCTTTTTCCTTGCAATGTCTTCCAGCTTCTGTGGGCAAACTAATTAATGTTACTCCGAGCTATACCATTATCTTAAATGATTACTGTTACAGAGGACATTAGGGGGCAGTTCAAATAATAATAATAATAAACCATGACCAGTCGGGTTACAGGCTAGCAGGTTTAATCATAAGAAAACCATTTCCTTTTTCCTTCATTCAAATAGTTCTAAACATGTTTTGGCCTTGTTTTCTTGATCATGCTGCCATCCCATCTCTAAATCCTTCCATGCCTTTGTTGACCATCCTATCTTAGGCTCTGTTCAGTGTGGGGTGAGCCTCTTGAAGTACTATCATTCCTTGAGATTGCATGGTAGTTGATTGTGCCACTGATAACCATCTAAGCAAAATGAGGTCCCTCCCTCCCAGATGTAGTCTGGATTTTACTGATTGAGGACATCATTGCATGTTACAGGACATAACCAAGAACTGATGTATTTTGTTCATGAATATACTTGGGCATATGATCAACTAAGCGCCAGCTGAATACAGCCTAGTATCGACCAGTTTGTTATGCATGTTATGATCAATGCTAATAGGCCCAGTCATGGGTTGGGCTAATAGAAGATTCACCATGGTAAAACCAGAAATCTTTTCAAAAGCTTAAAATTTCCAAAGGTATCACATGTTAGCGATGTTTTCATTTGGAAGATATGTTTGAGCTTACAAAGTCATATATCAGCCTGAGACTAAATTATGTAATTTCAAAGATAAAAAGGTGGTCTCATGCTAGTTCATGTTTTTAATGATATGATGAGTTTTCTACAACATTTTCATTTTGTTGGCATACATGTCACCTTTTTGTAAACTCAGTTAATGTTATTGTTTAGTTGGATTTCATTTTTCTAGCTTTGAGCTTGTCCTATTTTTCCATGGAAATTACAATTCTCTCTTCTGACCGGTTGTTACCTCTGTTCCAACCCTTAAAATTTGGACTAAAAAGATGTTAGCTTGTCATTAAGATCCTTTTCAAGTTGTTTGTTCTTTTCTCCCATTTGAAACCTTTACCTGTTGGCCAAATAAGTATTGTATTTAAATTCTTGGATTCACTTTTTTTATACACCCTTTGATCAAGTGGCCTTAGAACAATATGCATATCAATTGGAAAATGAAAATTGATGTAATGTTTCCAGTCTGGGTTCCAATTTTTGCTTTAAATTGGAGGTTGTTATGATATTAAAAAGACAAACCTAGTGCATAAGGCTCTCATTGATATAGTGTCTGGGTTGGATCAATGTTCTGTTACATACAAAAATTTGGAGAAAAAAAAAATTTGATGGACAAGTTTGTTGTATAGAGCATGCATTCATATCTCAGCCATCCTGGTTGGTTTGCTCCAGTTTTAACATTAAAATGAAACAGGGGATCTTCAAAAAACAGTCTAGTCCCCAAATATTCTTGTTGGTGTGGTGCAGACCTTCCTGGTGATGAAACTATCCACCACCAATTCTTCATGGTGAAGATGAATGGTATTGAAGTCTCATCTTCATTGTGATCTATATAGGCCTAATTTATTTTTCACTAACATAGTGAACAGTTGTTTTGGTTGAACATCTGTATGACAGCAAGTCCTTTATTGGCAAAACTGACCAGAACTCCAAAATCATAATGGCCATACATCGACGGCGGCCTAAAAATTTTATGCATGTTTCCATGCACCATTTTGTCAGCTGCTTATCTTAATATCTTATGCCCTTCTTTCTTTAGTCTAAAGTTCATTTTTGTTGTGTGCAGGTTATGGTCCAGTTGTTCTTTATTTAGGTCACCAGTATAGTTTCTTTAGTTGGCCTAATAATTAGAGAAGTTAATGGTCTGATGTACCACATGTGCCCTGTTTCATGAACTCAATCATGGATATACTAGAAACCTCGGTCATGAAGCCACTTTTCCACTTCATATAAATGTGACCACAAGTGATGGTAAATTTACATTTCCGAAGTTTTGGCTAATGTACAAGAGTAGAAAGGATCCAAATGCAGAATTCTCCTGCAACCTCTCTGATACAGCTTAGGGGAAGGATGGTTAAAGCCTGCTTTGTTCAGAAGTTGCACCAGGGTTAAGTTCATCAATTAATAAGGCAAAAAAAAAGAGTTCATCAATGGATATACTGATGAAACTTTGAGGTCAAGTTGAATGTGGTTCCACTTTTCTGTTCTTTATTTGTGAAATCTGTTCAGCTGGGTGATGATTGTGCCCAAAAATTTGACCATGGCAATACTTCAACATCTCTCGAATTGATGTAATTATGCATGGTATTCAGAATGTGTTCATCTACTTATTAGTTTAGTTGTTTTGGCTGACTTTGTACTGATTGAATGTGAGTATTTCCTGTTGAGATTCTATCAGGTTGAGTAGCACATGATATGTTCCAACCCTTTCAAGAATCCCAAGAAAATGATTAGATATTTTAGTTAATCTGCTTTCATATAAACTACTTTTCTATAAGGAGGCAATGCATACATTCATCGATCAGAATTTGAATGCTAAAAGCCATATCCATTTAACGTGCCTCTGAATTCCTCAGCCAGCATTCCCTCGCGGACCTTCACCTCTCTGCAACGCAATTCTATCCTACAAGGCTTCGTCGTCGCAGTACCGGACCTCGACGCTGCACCTCTGTCGGCCTCCCCACCGGCAGCAGAATTCCTTCCGAAGGAGCTGAACCACTTCGCTCGGACGTACTCCTTTCGCCTCCATGGGGGCAGGTGCATGCCGGAGCTCCTGATGGACTCCTCCATCGCCACGCACATGAGGCTCACGATGCTCTCCAGCGCGCCCGGCCTTCCCACGAACACCGACGGCAACGCCCGGAGGAGCGCAGTGTAGTCCTGGGTCGGTCGGGCAATCTCGAATTCGGCGGCCAAGTCGATCTCCAAGATGTAGCGCGTACCTCCTCCTCGATCGATCACGTCGATGTACTCGTGGGTGCCGGCCTGGATCCGCTCAGCTCTCTCCCATGACGACTTGCACAGCCCTGAAAAGATTATTGTCGAATAGATGTTGGATCTCCTGCCTAAAATCGAATCTAAATGCATCGATTTCATCCATGCAGAACATAATCTTATCATGATGTATAGTAACAGTACACACCGGCATCAAATCCTTTGTCTCGGAGCCAACCGATAACTCGCCTTTTGAAGCCGTCTCCTGCCGGCGAGACTGCGCTAACCCCCCGCTCGGCCGCGACTCGGATCCGGTGTCCCACCATGTCGGCTTCCGACTCCGCCAGCACGGAGTCCAGCGACCTCCTCGTAAGATAACCTCCCTTCTCAGATCCCATGCCGTACTTGCCTTTCCGTTCGTCGATCTCCTCCTCGTTGTAGAACGAGTCGATCAGGTCCGCCAACTCGGCCGTATCGGAGGTGGTGGACTCCACTGACACGCAGCTACTCACCTCCTGCCACAGCCGCGCTCTTGCCGTCTCGTCCAGCGGCGCTGTCGCCCTTTTGTACTTCCTCGCCATTGGCCTTTTCGCTGGTTAGGTTATTCTCGGAATCGTCAGCTATATCTCTGTATCTATCATCCCCTGCTCGAGCAAAGATTGCACGGCAACTTATAGGCAGGGTTTTCGGGGACGACGATGACTCGTTCCTGGATTGGCTCCTTCACGTGTGCCGAGCTTTCGTGGACGTGACGACGGGACGCTGGTCGACTGGCTACTCCTCACGAGTAAAAGCATCGTGTGACCGTACTCTGGGCCAAATGCAACGAACGTGGTTAAAAGCGACTAGATTCAATGAACTTGATCAGACGACTAGATTACGAAGCCGGTAGCATCCACAGTGAGTGTTACCGATGTACCTGGCCATGTTATCGGATTAATGCAATTGTGATGTCAGATACTGTAAACTCAACCGTAAGCTTCCGTGGAATTCCGTATATGGAATGAATCTTCTCCGCAACACGGGCAAGTTCATCGAGTTAATGATGGACGTGACTGCACGCAGAGTTGGTTTTGACACAAAATATAAATCATTGTTATGTTGATGTCTCACCTATATCTCATCTTTCTATTGGTTACAGAATGGTATTTTGTTGTCCTTAAACCCAGAAATTGATTGATCCCTAACTCTCTGGAAATATATATTCCCTTTTTTGGCACAAAGACTGCTCTAGCTATAGCATATTACCATTCATGCACACAGAAGAATGAGACACAACAAGACACTAAATTATCTAGAGAGCATAATCGATTAATAATTGATGGGATTAAAAGTAAATCACGCATAACAATATGTTGATATATATAATAAGAATGAATTAGAGAGGAAAACAAAAGGAGATGGTAAGTGTTGCCTTCCTGAAGCTGCATGTACAGATACGCAGCATAAATCGTACTTGTACTGATTGAGATTATACTAAAAAAGGCCTACAATATGTCGGCCCATTAGAAGCCTTACGGGCCAAAGGATTTTTGGCCCAAGTATTGCGTCGTATGGATCACCGACCAAGTCCCCCTCTTTATCGAGCAGCGGCCCTCGACGATCCGCTCGGCGCCTCGCTAGGGTTCCTGCGTGCGTGATCATTGGACGATCGACAGGGGAATCGAGGGGCTTCTGTTCCCTCTTGTACGGGTTCATATTGGGCATCAGATCGAATAGGAAATCGGTAAGTCGCAATTTTTCCTCGTTTGCTCTATCGTCAGCTCCATCTTCTTGTCTGTTCTTTGTTCCTCCTTTCTTGAATCGTGGGGTTATTGTGTGTTTTCATTCTAACTCTGTTTTCGTTTATTAGGGATAGAACGATCTTTCTTTTGCTTTGTTCTTCCATATCTGTGGAATTTTAGGTCCCTGCTCCTTCGAGTTCTAACCCTAACTCCTGAATCCAACCACAGGAATCAAGAAACACAAGGGAACTCCATGTTAGCCCCGATTTTGTCGCTCCCGGCCCCGCCCGCTGATGGAAACCTCGGCCCGATTCCCCTTGCCCAGGTCTCGAATGATTCCTCCGCCAATAAGTCGCAAGAACAGAAAGAGCAGTCCCCTCCTGCGCCGGCTCCGGCACCAGTCGCGACGCATACGAGGACGATCGGTATCATCCACCCTCCACCTGATATTCGAGTGATCATAGACAAGACTGCAGCTTTCGTCGCCAAGAACGGCCCCGAGTTTGAAAAGAGGATTCTTGCCAACAATGCCGGCAACAACAAATTCAACTTTTTGACTGCTTCGGACCCTTACCATGCCTACTACCAGCACAAGGTCTCGGAGCACCGCGCCCTGGTCCAGGCTGCCCCTCAGCAGCCATCCGAAGACTCCTCTCTGCCTTCAGAACCTGCCCCCGCACCTTCTGATGGCTCAGCTGCCCCCGCAGCTGCAACTGCACCTCCTGAAGAGGCTACAGCCAAGGTTGACCTTGCAGCTCAGTTTAGAGTTCCTCCAAAGAAGGTTCTTGAGCCCCCTGAGGCCGAGCAGTACACAGTTAGGCTCCCAGAAGGGATCACTGGGGAGGAGCTGGATATCATTAAGCTCACTGCACAGTTCGTCGCTCGGAATGGGAAGAACTTCTTGACAAACCTCACAAGCCGAGAGATGAGCAACCCGCAATTCCATTTCTTGAAGCCAACCCACAGCATGTTCACATTCTTCACGACTCTTACAGATGCATACTCAAAGGTGCTGATGCCTCCAACGGGACTGACAGAAAAGCTGCGGAAAAGCACCAGTGATTTGACTACAGTGCTCGAGAGGTGTTTGCACCGTCTTGACTGGGAGCGGTCTCAGGAACAAGCTAGGCAGAAGGCTGAGGATGAGATCGAGCAAGAAAGGCTGCAAATGGCCATGATTGATTGGCATGATTTTGTTGTTGTTGAAACCATTGAGTTTGCTGATGACGAGGATGAGGAGCTGCCCTTACCAATGACATTGGATGAAGTCATTAGGAGGAGCAAGATATCGTCATTGGATGAGGAGGAACCAATGCAAACAGTTGAACCAGGGAAGGAGATGGAGATGGAGATGGATGAAGATGAGATGCTGCTTGTGGTGGAAGGCATGAAGGCTACAGGACTTGACAAGAATGGTGCGGATGAGAAAAAGAGAGAAGCAAGGGCATCCGGTGATGAGCCTGAGCCTCCTATGAGGATAGTGAAGAACTGGAAGAGACCTGAGGAGAGGATAGCTGCTGAAAGAGATTCAACCAAGTTTGTGATTTCACCAATTACCAATGAGCTTATTCCTATTAATGAGATGGCCGAGCACATGCGCATTTCACTCATAGACCCCAAATACAAGGAGCAGAAAGAGAGGATGATGGCCAAAATCCGGGAGACAACTCTTGCTCCGGATGATGAGATCTCTAGGAATATTGTTGGGCTTGCACGAACTCGTCCCGATATTTTTGGTACCACTGAAGAAGAAGTCTCCAATGCTGTCAAGGCAGAGATTGAGAAAAAGAAAGATGAGCAGCCAAAGCAGGTCATATGGGATGGGCACTCAGGCAGTATTGGACGCACTGCCACCCAAGCCTTATCACAGGGTTTTTCTGGTGAGGAACAAACTGACGCTAATAACAATGATTTGAGGACACTTCCAGGTCCTGCACCTGCACCAAGACCTGGGGTACCATTTGTCCGCCCACTACCTCCACCACCTGGATTGGCGTTAAATATTCCTCGATTCCCCCCAAACCAAGTCCAATATTCTGTTCCTGCTGCTGGTGGGGGTCTTGTTGCACCTCCAAGGCCTGGAATCATCCCAATGATTCCATCCATGAGGCCTGGACCTTCACCTATGCCTATGACCTCGTCATCGCAGCATGTTATGATGGGTCAGCAGCCATTATCTCAATCAATTATGGTGAACCCTCCCAATATCCCTGTACCTCCACCTCCTGGATCCCAGTTCACACCATTGGTAGTTCCTCGACCTTTTGTTCCATTGCCTATGCCACCGCCTAACATGCCAATGGTTCCCCCTCCACCTCCACCACAAGGAATGCCGCCACCTCCTCCCCCAGAGGAAGCTCCACCGCTACCAGATGAACCTGAACCAAAACGGCAAAGAGTCGATGATGTTTCACTCATGGCAGAGGATCAGTTCCTTGCCCAGCATCCGGTATCTCTTTTAATTATGTTTATTGATTTTTCACTTTAATGACAAGTATTTATTACATTGCTAAACCCACCTTTCATTTTCTCAGGGATCCAGCCGGATTTCTGTATCTGTTCCAAATGTGGATGAAGGAAACTTGAAAGGTCAGCTTCTGGAGATTGCAGTACAGTCTTTATCCGAGACTGTTGGCAGTCTTAAGGAGAAGATTGCGGCAGAGGTTCAGCTTCCTGCTAATAAACAGAAACTGAGTGGTCGCGCTGGTTTTCTCAAGGATAATCTTACCCTTGCTTATTATAACATTGGCCCTGGAGAAACTCTAACCCTTGCACTGAGGGAACGTGGTGGGAGAAAGAGATAAGCTTTTTGTCAAACAAGCAGAACTTTTCTTCGTCCAGTTATTCTCATATGTTAGTTATCTGAGATTATAAATCTGTTGGGATGTAATTCATAATATTAGACTTACGTTCTTGCTAGTTTGATGCTTGAAACTTATCTATGCTGATGAACTTTATGGTTTTGTAATGCAGATTTACAATTCGGATGATGTTGTTTCCTTAAGTCGTATTGCTGATATGAATATGTTCCTCCAAGAGAACAAGCTTATTGTTATGGCTTGATATATTGCTATCAAAGATCTTGTTTAGCATGCAATATCTATGTAATCTTTCTTTCTAATCTGCTAGCTAACTGATGCAGGTTTTATATTCCAGAGAAGATAATTCTTCAGGTCCCCTATGCTATTAATTATTTTCTGCAAGGAGGCTTTGAGTTTTTTTCTCATGCACTAGCAGAACTTTTCAGCATTGTCTATTAGTACTGATCAGAAGGAAGATGCATTTTCATAAACTGCTCTTGTGACCTTTTGTTTTCCTTAAATGCCCTGTTATGCTGAACTTTTTACATAGAAAGTTATGTCACACTGGAATCACTTGATGATAACTCAGGGTTTCTTGTTCTTGCATATTGGTAGCTTTTTGCCAGCTTAGCATGCTGAATAGAGTTGAAATGCTATCATGGCAGGAGCCTGTTGTCTGACGTTAAGGTCAGCTCCATCCACCTTGCTTGGAATTCAGGTACTTGCATGTGTTTCTTTTTTCTCTATTTTTATTTTTTTCATGTTCAACTTTCTTCGAATGACTAAGGATGACTCTGCTTGACATGGGTATTTTTGCATGGCATCACGGTGGAAGTTGGATTTTTTTTTTTATCAGACCATTTCTGACAACTGCCCATCCATCCTTGGGTTTTTGCCTTTTCCTTACTGTCCTTTTTCTTTTCAGTTGATGTTTCTTTTTCTTTCATTGAAATTTGATTCTTTGCCCCTGAGACAGACGTTCTTTCATTATTCCACTGCCTTATAAAAAGCATTTTGCACCAGGTTCTGGTATATATTGAGGATAGTTAGCTGCTTGATCATAAATTCTCCATTTTATATTGGAGGAAAATCCTTGGACATGTTAAAAACCATTCATTCAGATAATAGCTGGTATAATGAAATGGGAAATTTTTGATGGTTTTGATAATC